ATATATATATATATATACTGATAACTACTGGATATTGGAATGCAGAGGTTGTAAACAAAGAGTAAGGATCAGTGGTTGGAAACTATGGTCTTGGTAATAGAAACAATGCTGGAGATCAAATGATAAAATTTTACAAGACCAATGATTTGTTCATTGCATATACCTTTTTTAAAAAACATAAAAGATGATTATACACATGGACCTCACCAGATGAAATACACAGAAATGAAAATTACTCCATGTATTGAAAGAGGTGGTAGAAAAGCGCCATATTATCAGCCACAACAAGGCCAGGGTCAGACTGTGGAGCAAACCATCAATTGTTCATATGCAAATTCAAGTTGAAGCTGAAGAAAATTAAAACAAGTCCACGAGAGCCAAAATATGATCTTGAATATATCCCACCTGAATTTAGAGATCATCTGAAGAACAGATTTGATGAATTAGACACTAAAGACCAAATACCATACAAGTTGTGGGATGACATCAAGAACATCATACAAGAAGAAAGCAAAAGCAACTTTAGAAGACAAGAAAGAAGGAAAGACAAAAATGGATTTCAGAAGAGACTCTGAAACTTACTCTCCGTCATAGAGATGCTAAAGCAAATGGAAGAAGTGAAAGGGTACAAGATCTGAACAGAAAATTTCAAACGTCAGCTCAAGAAGACAAAGTCAAACACTAAATTGAAATGTGCAAAGACCTGGAGTTGGAAAACCAAAAGGGAACATGATCAGCATTTCTCAAGCTGAGGGAACTAAAGAAAAAAATCAAGTCTTGATTTAAAGTATTGAAGGATTCTCTGAGCAAATTATTGAATTATGCAGAAAACATCAAAAGAAGATGGAAGGAATACAGAGTCACTGTAACAAAAAGAAATGGTCAATGTTCAAGCATTTCGAGAGGTAGCATATGATCAAGAGCCAGTGATCCTGAAGCAAGAAGTCCACAGTGCATTGAAGACATTGGCAAAGAACAAGGCACTGGTAATTGATGGAATACAAATTGAAAATTTCAACAAACCTATGTGGCACTGGAGAAACTCACTCATCTATGCCAAGAAAATTGGAAGACAACTACCTGGCCAACTGACTGAAAGAGATCCATACTTGTGCCCATTCCAAAGAGAGGTGGCCCAACAGAATGCAGAAATCATC